CGTTCCAAATTGCCGCCGAAATGCGAGATTCTAGCAAACTTTCAATTAGAGTGAAATTTATTTTCCATCGATCGGTTCATTCATGCCATCCTGTATACGGAATTTTAATTTCAACTTGACGTTATAGTTTCAGTTTCAAAATGAGCCCTACACTTTGCAAGTCGGTCCAGTAACGAAAAATTTATCATTACATTATTCTGCAGTATAAAATGTGTGTTTTTTAGACCAACCTGTACGAAAAGTTCCTTGAATTGTTTTCCTTAATTTGGCTGCAACCCAGATTTAAAAGCGAGCAGAGAAAGTATCACGTTTTATGGACATCTCGATTCTAAGAGATATTATGGAAGCGTCTAAAAATCGCTGATTAATCACTTGGAACATTGCGAAGGGACATCTGAGGAGCTGCCTTTCCCTGCTAAGAATTTATATCAAATTTATAACCTTGAAAGAGAAATAATCAGGCGGTAGCGAGCTGTAAAAGTTTCAAAACTTTTATCGGGAAAGCGGTAAAAAATTTCGAAGCAATCATTCGAATGTTTTCGATGGCACGCTTCAAGAAGGGTTTTTCGTATTTACTTTCATATTGAAAGTCTAACTTTTAAAAAGCTGATCAAGAGTACGAATATCCGAATTTTTAAGTGCCCTTGAAGTCTAAAAAACCCTTAAAAACACATAAACTTTAAGTAAAACATCTTCAATAGAGCGGTTAGACGTGCTAAAATAGCTCAATATTTCCCCTGGAATATGAAAATAAGTCCGCTACCATTTTCAAAAAACGTCTATATAAAATCCCCAAAAAGCGAAATGTAAAGCTTTCTAAAATCTGTACATGCGAGCAGTAGAAATCAAAGAAAACCATAAACCTGGTTGCCATCTACTTCTACAAAATAAAACGTTGTCGTGATCCACACCTATTAAATTTCCTAATGCCCGATATCGCCTTTAAAAAATCAACCCGATTTAGTGGCTCAAATTGAGAAGAACAGTCGCAAGTCTGTATGTAATTTTAACTAACCCAAACTAAAGAATTAATAAATTTAAAATTATTCTTACCAACTTTCTGCAAGCTGGCGCCCCATCCTCCATTTTGTACCCATAATGTTCAAAAAGTCCACACATCACATAAACATAAAATGAAAATCCATTCCCAATTGAAAACTTTAATCCTGCAGTTAGCAGGCACATTAAACAACCGGACTTGCCTTAAAGGCCATAATGATTTCATACTTTTACACGATTTTGTAGCGATTTACACGACGCAAAAACACGCGATTTATTCCAAAGCTGTAAGAAAAATTTAATTAGTAAATAAAAACATAAAAAAAATAACTTGGTGGACCCGAACAAATTGTATATGAACGAAATACGAAATGGATTTAATACAATATCAATAGTTCAACATGGAACCAAAAACTTTGGCTTATTCATAACGTACGTAGAAAAGCGAGTATTCACGAAATAAACAATAAATAAATATCCTGAATCATTAACGGTTCAAAGCTATAAGAAAAGCTGTTACTAGTAAATAAAAGCATTAATCAAAGTTATCTGTTGAACCTGAAGAAAATTGTATGTTGACACAATAGTACTGTTGATACAATGATACTAACCACCTTGAAGCACTTTAATCTGGATTGGGGGTATTATTTAACCTTAACTTAAATTTATAAGTCAAAAAACAGCAAACAATTAGATTTAAGACAGAAACACACTAATAATATATAATAAAATTGAATCTGAGAACAACAAAATGTAACAAAGAATAATTTGTTAATCTGACCAAAACCCATTAAAAATACAAGAACCCCTTAGTTTCGAATGTAACTGCAAAATATCTTGCACGACGAGAAATGTGGAGTTCACAGGAGAACAGCATTTATTTTGCATTTAAGCATTGCAAAAATATTGCCTGTTGGTCAAATTTGTCTTGTCTGAAAGTTAACAGTTTTCGAGATACAGGGTGTCAAAGTGTAGATAAAATTTTCGATTATTTTTAATAGATTTCTAACCAGTTCAACTATGATAAACAGAAACGGTTTTTTAGATGGACAAATCCATATTTCCTATTACCCAGCTTGTAGATCCTAGAGGGTGCTAGC